GCCTGCTTGTGCGTATACTGCAAACACTGCTCCACTTCTTCCTTGAGAGCCGCTGGGTGAAGAGAGGCCACGAGTTGCTTGCACTTTGCCTCGTTACCCCCGTCACCTTCAAAGCAGGCGCCCAGACCATTCTCGCGCACTAGCTTCCGGAACTGGTTAAAGTAGTCCAGCACACGGGCGTCGACATCACTCTCCATCAGGTTCATCCTCAGTTTGGATCTGAATAATGCCTTGACGTCAGGGAGCGTGTCATTCTTCACGCTTGAAAGGATGAGGGCGAACTCAGCAATCAGCATGTCGTCATTCACGTTAGCAACGTCCTCGTTCAATCTCAGCTCGCAAAGTACATCCAGTAAATCAGGATCCATTGAGTCGCGAACGGACTGGACTATGCTGTCATAATTTTCTCCAGTAGCGCGGCATCGAGCTCTCAACTTGCTCTCGTAGTGACGGCGCTTGTTCGTCCAATCCGTCAAAGCTTCATGAGAGATACTTGTAATTTCCGGTGCTACGATCGGTGTAAATACCGGTGTACCAGCTCCTTGCATCCTGGCTGGTACTTGCTGAGGTTCAGTCCCACTCACGCCGAAATAACCACGATTAACCCTTGGGCCCTTAGCGGCTTGCTTCGGTCGCGCCAAAAGAAAACCACAGTCACGACGGCAGAAACAGGCTCTTGTACTTGTTCTTGTCTCTTGGTACAGGCAGCTGGACTTGTACCAAAGAGAACACTTTTTCCACTAAAGAATTCTTTGTAGTAAATCCCGGGTGAAAAACCAATCAACACTCGACAAAGCGGGAGCCACCCCGCTGGAACTTATAGCCAAGTGTATTGTATCGGGTAAATCGTAGAATGAGTCTCGAGTCTGATGGTAACCAGATCGAGCTCAATTATCAGCTCCTTTCTAAGGCGTCCCTCAGAAAGTTCGCTGGGAAAGTTATAAGACAGATGATATATAGTTGGCCTGGTTCCTAATATAAAACCCGGGTCGGACCTTACTAGCCCGACTGGGAAGACACGCAGACCCATCGCCTGAAGATGGCAAAGCTGCCAGGCGCCCTTGGGTCGTCTCCGTTGAACTATGAGGGAAACCAAGGTGAAATACCTAGGATTCACTACAAGATGCAAATAACCACTTAGCTAGCTGAAAGTCTTCCGATAGAAATGTATAAGGCATTCCAGCAATCTTGCTGGCTGTAGAAGTACCGTAGGGCTTTAGCGAGACCGTCACGGGTGCCGATCGCTCAATTCCGCCATCCAGATTTTTAAGCTTCCTGTACAGGAGTTTGTCAGAATAGTTTCTTTGAAGTTGTGACAAGTAGGATCAATCCTGGTTCTACATTAAAGTCTGAAAGCACAATATTGATATTTTTCCACTTTAAATTACCAACCTACAACCCTACATTTAAAAAAATAGCAGCCAATCAGACACCACAAAAGACGCTCGTAAAAAAAAAACGATCTCCGCAAAATTTTTCGTAAAGAGCTGGAGAGCTGTGAGCCATTCAAATACTAAGAACAAAGTTTACAACATCATGAGGCAACCGTTTGAGACATATCTCTCAGCGCGAGCTGTATTGAGA